TAACTGTTTCTTTCTTGTATTATATATTTAACTGTATATGATTTAACAGTTCATTCCTTGTTATATATCTAATTATCTTTATAAATAAATATATTAAATTATCAGCAATTTGGTCTTATCTCTCTAGAGAACCCTGTCTAACACACCTTCCATCACCGGTTCACCAGCAGACCTGCCCCCGGGGAGTGCCCTTCCCTCCCCATCCCATGCACTGGCGGCAGTGGCTCGTGGTGTCTGATGCTCAGGACCTCGTTTTACGTGGACACAACGTGGCCTCCTGCCCTCAGCTCCGTCTTCACCCAACGTGCAGACACAGCAGCACCTTCCTTTCAGGTCAACGGCCTCCCTTGCGGGGACTGGCCGCCCCTGCTGAGACCACCGCCCCCCTCACCTTCCCTTGTGCCTCTGGCACGTGAAGCCATGGGCAGCACGGACCCCTGACCCCGAGACACACGGTCACCTTTATCCCAGGGTGCCAGTGAGCCAGGAGGGGGACCAGCCAAAGGGCTGGAAGCTCAAGCTTTCCTTCAGAGGATAGCAGTCCCACCAGGAGGTCGGGACCTCTCCCAGGCTGCCCTGGCTGGAGGAGGAGGAGACCGGCTTCCTGGAGCAGACAGCCCCTCCCTACAGCGAGTACCTGCAGAGATGGGATGTTCCGCTGGCTGAGTGGGGAGGCGGGTCCCGTAGGTGAGAGAGGGCCCTGAGGTTCCAAGCAGGCCTTGTGGAGAGGAGGATCCGGACGCTGAGGGCAGCTGGGCTGGTGGACGTGATAGAGGTGACATTGCACCCTTGCTCCACAAGGGTGGACTCGGGTGGATCTGGGCTGGAGAGTCCCACGTCAACTCCCACGTCCCGTTGGCAGTAACCTGGGGGAGGGCGTGTGAGGGGCCTGCCCTCCTCTTGCCTGTTTGAGTGGAAACGTGGGGCCCACACTGTCATCGTCTGCCCAGAGTTCAAAGCCACTCCCTTAGAGCAAGGGCATGGGCCCTGGGGGCCCTGCGGTCTAAGGGCATGGCTGGGAAAGGGAGAGTCAGGGATCAGAGAAGGCAGTGGGGACCTCGTGGGTGGTGAGACCCTGTACTGTAGGGTGGCCGGGAGGCAGAATGACTCGGCGTGGTGGGTGTGGTTTCAGTGGAGAGCCACATGT